CCGGTTCTAAGTTGTAAAGCATGGCACACTGAACTATCGAGTAGTCATCAGCTTTGCTCTGCCAGGTGTTCATAAAATCTGGCGTTGCTCCTGCAGTGGGTTTGTCACCTAGCGATGCTTCCAGGACGTAATTCTTCTGTGCAGCAATGAGGATAATCCTCAAGTTACGGACCCAGTCTGTGTAGTTGCTACCATCATCTTTCAACCTAGCTTTCTCTAGGAACGCATTAAAATTTAACGGAACAACAGCACGGGCTATCTATCTACAACAACATAGACATGCAAAATACTATCAGGTACTAAGTTCATGATAAACTAAAGTTCAATTAATCAAATTGCTTAAGAACTCCCACTTAGATAGACATTTCTCTAATCATCTAAGTGATCACATGATCCATATCAACTAAACCATGTCTGATCATCACGTGAGATGGAGTAGTTTTCAATGGTGAACATCACTATGTTGATCATATCTACTATATGATTCACGCTCGAACTTTCAGTGTCCAGTGTTCCGAGGCCATATCTGCATATGCTAGGCTCGTCAAGTTTAACCCGAGTATTCCGCTTGTGCAAAACTGGCTTGCACCCGTTGTATGTGAACATAGAGCTTATCACACCCGATCATCATGTGGTGTCTCGGCACGACGAACTATAGCAACGGTGCATACTCAGGGAGAACACTTATACCTTGAAATTTAGTGAGAGATCATCTTATAATGCTACCGCCGAACTAAGAAAAATAAGATGCATAAAGGATAAACATCACATGCAATCAATATAAGTGATATGATATGGCCATCATCTATCTTGTGCCTTTGATCTACATCTCCAAAGCACCGTCATGATCACCATCGTCACCGGCTTAACACCTTGATCTCCATCGAAGCATCATTGTCGTCTCGTCAACTATTGCTTCTACGACTATCGCTACTGCTTAGTGATAAAGTAAAGCAATTACATGACGATTGCATTTCATACAATAAAGCGACAACCATATGGCTCCTGCTAGTTGCCGATAACTGTGTTACAAAACATGATCATCTCATACAATAAATTTTAGCATCATGTCTTGACCATATCACATCACAGCATGCCCTGCAAAAACAAGTTAGACGTCCTCTACTTTGTTGTTGCAAGTTTTACGTGGCTGCTACGGGCTGAGCAACAACCGTTCTTACCTACGCATGAAAAACCACAACGCGGTATAGTGATTGCTTTTCGATCTTCATAAAGAACCTTGTTCATTGAATCCGATTAAACTAAAGCTGGAGAAATAGACACCCACTAGCCACCTGTGTGCGAAGCAAGTCGATAGAACCAGTCTCGCGTAAGCGTACGCGTAATGTCGGTCTGGGCCGCTTCATCCAACAATGCCGCTAAATCAAGAATCAACTAGTGACGGCAAGCAATATGTATATACCCACGCCCACAACTCCTTTGTGTTCTAATCGTGCATATAACATCTACGCATAAACCTGGCTCGGATGCCACTATTGGGTAACGCAGTAATTTCAAAAAAATTCCTATGCACACGCAAGATCATGGTGATGCATAGCAATGAGAGGGAAGAGTATCGTCTACGTACCCTCATAGACCGTAAGCGGAAGCGTTATGACAACGCGGTTGATGTAGTCGTACATCTTCATGATCAACCGATCTAGTACCGAAGATACGACACCTCCACGATCTGCACACATTCGGCTCGCTGACATCCCGCGAACTCATGATCCAGTAGAACCTCGAGGGAGAGCTTCGTCAGCACGACGGCGTGATGACGGTCATAATGTTGCTACCGGAATAGGGCTTCGCCTAAGCACCACTACGATATTATCGAGGTGGGTTATGGTGGAGGGGGGCACCGCACACGGCTAAAGATCAATGATCAACTTGTGTGTCCATGGGGTGCCCCCTCCCCCGTATATAAAGGAATGAAGGAGGGGGAGGGGGCCGGCCTCTCTAGGCGCACCCCAAGGAGTCCTACTCCCACCGGGAGTAGGATTCCCCCCCCCCCCTTCCCTTTGTCGGTTTTAGGAGATAAGGAAGGAGAGGGAAGAAGGAAGGAAAGGCCCCCCCCTCCCAATTCGGATTGGGCTTGGGGGGCGCGTCCCCTCCTTTGCTTCTTTCCTCTCTCTTCCACTAAGGCCCAATAAGGCCCATATACCTCCCGGGGGGTTCCGGTAACCTCCCGGTGCTCCGGTATACTCCCGTTTTCACCCGGAACCATTCCGATGTCCAAACATAGGCTTCCAACATATCGATCTTTACGTCTCGACCATTTCGAGACTCCTCATTATGTCCGTGATCAAATCTGGGACTCCAAACTACCTTCGGTACATCAAAACACATAAACTCGTAATACCGATCGTCACTGGACGTTAAGCGTGCGGACCCTACGGGTTCGAGAACTATGTAGACATGACCGAGACATGTCTCCGGTCAATAACCAATAGCGGAACCTGGATGCTCATATAGGTTCCTACATATTCTACGAAGAGCTTTATCGGTCAAACCGCATAACGGTTACGTTGTTCCCTTTGTCATCGGTATGTTACTTGCCCGAGATTCGATCGTTGGTATCTCAATACCTAGTTCAATCTCGTTACCGGCAAGTCTCTTTACTCGTTCCGTAATGATACATCCCGTAACTAACTCATTAGCTACATTGCTTGCAAGGCTTATTGTGATGTACATTACTGAGAGGGCCCAGAGGTACCTCTCCGACAATCAGAGTGACAAATCCTAATCTTGATCCATGCCAACTCAACAAACAACATCGGAGACACCTGTAGAGCACCTTTATAATCACCCAGTTACGTTGTGACGCTTGGTAGCACACAAAGTGTTCCTCCGGTATTCGGGAGTTGCATGATCTCATAGTCATACGAACATGTATAAGTCATGAAGAAAGCAATAGCAACAAACTAAACGATCATCGTGCTAAGCTAACGGATGGGTCAAGTCAATCACATCATTCTCTAATGATGTGATCCCGTTAATCAAATGACAACTCATGTCTATGGTTAGGAAACATAACCATCATTGATTCAACGAGCTAGTTAAGTAGAGGCAAACTAGTGACACTCTGTTTGTCTATGTATTCACACATGTACTAAGTTTCCGGTTAATACAATTCTAGCATGAATAATAAACATTTATCATGATATAAGGAAATATAAATAACAACTTTATTATTTCCTCTAGGGCATATTTCCTTCAATCTTCTCTGTAAATAGGGCCAATAAGATATCATTCTCAGTCTCTGAAACTTGAGGACTATTGTTTCTAAACAAATCTGCCAAGAAAACCTAGTTTTCAGCATGCCGGAGTGGCCTTGTAATACTTTGTGTTGTAATCATTTAGGGGAGCAACAACCTTAATAACCACTTCACCTGATGGAGACCAAAGATACACTTTTTATGATACTTCTCATTACCTGTCATGTGAAAAAACTTGATGTTGTTATCATCTCTCGCGAGGTGCTCAACTTTGGTTGGAACATTGGTAATCATTTTAGCTCCCCTTCATGCTTAAGTGTGGCACTGCCTTATTGATTATTTTTAAACTTCCCGAGCGGCAAGGTGACACACTTCATCCTATCTTGTCAAGCTAGTCAACAGTAGTCGAGAGATGCAATCTTCTTTTGTTAATGTTGTTCATGTAGGCAGCTCAACTATATAGGTCCTGATGCACCAGAGTCTAAGTTAATTATCATTCCACCTTTAGTGAGATTTCGCCCTTTACTTCATTTTCCCCATACCTTGGCAACTTGATCAACGAAATCATCACGATCCAGCCAACCCGATATGAACTTCAAAAGGCAGCTACTAGATTGAAATGTTATTGTTTTGGTATCCAAGAGGAGGGGGAGCATGATATGATAACCAGCTTAACCATTCGAGAGTGTTAGACGATGGATACTTGCAAGAATTTTTCTTCTCATACATTAGTCATAAACACACCGGAAATCCAATTCAGCTCTTGGAAGCATATGTTCATGCACACCAAATTACATTTTTTGCAGATGTCATTTTTTTTGCATCTAAACACATTGTCAAGTTTCTCATAGGTTTGATTGTGAAAGTTATATGCCCATGTAAGTTGACATCTCGTAATGTCAACCGATGCACCATACTGCCCTCTCCACCCCGCCAACACCGAGAAAACCATGTCGTTGCTGCCTCTCTTCCGTTGTCTATTCTTCCTCATCACTGTTGCGAGATGACGAACATATTGTTCCCGCTGGAATGACATGGGTTTATCACTGAGACCATGCGGGTCATCCTAACCAATAGTTATGTGGGTCTTGGAACAACTTTTGAGCCCCACTCACAGTGCATATCTTGCTTCTCTTGTCACCGCATCGTCGAAAACATATGGTATGAGTTGAAGAAAATAACGTCATGAGTTTATACAAAGATATCGGAAGTAGTTCATATACGTCAGAACCCGGTCATAAATCCTGCCTCTGACTGAGATGATCACGAGAACCCGGTCATAAATTCTACGATGGCCGGGTTCTGGTGAAACCCAATACAAAATTGGTTTCGCATATGTCGTGACTATACCATTTTTTAATTTAAAATAAAGGTGTTTTGCGAACCTGCCTTGACGAGTGATGAGCTTTTTTCACGGGCTGTTTTGCGTTCCGTTGGAGAAGTTGGGTGGAATGGTAAATGCACTTTTTTTGACAGGGAAAATGGTAAATGCACTTTCCAAATGTGTACTGGACACTTTTCAAACCGCGCTTGGGTAAAAACCAATCAACCGACATACACGGCGTCATTCAATCACTATAGCCGAACGGTAATCTGTTTCCGCTTTTACCATTTTCTCACACTATTTATTTACCCCAGCCCAGTACTGCTCCTCCCCCGCCTTCCTCCACCCTCCTCCTCTCTGCCGTCTGTGCAGCTCGTCAGTCCTCTCCTCGCCCCCGTTTTTGCCTCAAGCACCCCGACCACAAGGACTCCACGTGCGCCGAGGCGGAGGCGGAAGCGATGTCGATCGATCAGTCCCTCAAGGCAAGTTCATCCCCTCCACTTTATTTGATTCGTGCGGCTGTTGATTTATAGTTGTATTATATTCGCAAAAAAAATTATAGTAGTATTATGTAGTTAGCGGTCGGGGGTTTCTTGATTTCTGGGCGTTCTCTTGAATCTTTGGTTAATGCAGCGCTGCATACCGCAATCTCGTGACATGTGGAGGGCTCATTTTGTTTGATTTCGTCATCCTGTGATAGCTTTGGAGAAAATGATTCTTGGAACATAAAAATAAAGTGTTTCTTGAAGAAAAAAAATCTTTCGACCATCCAGCCAGAACAGATTTTGTTTCTCTACGGCCTATTGCTAGATGGGATTAGTAATACAAAAGGATTGGTTGTTGATTATATGTTGAACTTATGTCTCTGTTTTGGTCGGCCTCCTTTCAGAAGAAGAGAGGGAGGCCAGCAGGAGGAGGTTCCCCCTCTGTCAGCAAGAGCGAGCGAGACAAGATGGTCATGGAGCAGAAGATGGCACTGGTGCACCGAAGGCTCGCCTTGCTCGACAGCGAGAGCAACAAGGAAGCTGATGTTGTGCCGACGGCCACAATGGTGAGGTCTTTCAGCTTAAGCTCCACTCAGATTGTTGGCCACTGCAGGTCGACGTAGTCTTTCATATCAGCCATTTCATCAGTTTTTGTTTCTTGAAGCTCGATCCTGGTTCACTTACTATTGCGGAGCTGCCTCTGATAATCTATAATGGACCCTGGGGAAAAATGTAAATAATAAAACTGTAATGGAGTCTGAAAGTGTCTGTTTAAGCTTCTTTTTTCAGTCTTCACTGCCTCAACAGTACTGTAGCAACTAGTGCTTCCAACACTCTGAGCTTATGCATTCTCTTAGATTATAGCTTTCCTTTTGCGTGAGCTTGACTGCTGACTGCTGGAGTCTGCCATTTGATTGGCTTTTCTTTGTGGTCCTGAACCTTGATCACACTTATGCGGAACTGCCTCTGTTAAAGTAAAATGAAGCATTTAATAATTTGCTTATGATTTTTCTTCTCATGTTTCATTATCATGGTGAAACCAATATTCGTGACCGTATGCATTCTATGTTATCAGATTATCTGTTTCTTTTTAGCCTTCTCTTAAAATTTTGAATTTTTTCATGGCATGATGATATTTGATGATCGCAGGATGATAGGCTTGCAATTGTTGTTGATCAACAGCCTGTCGTTGTTAATGGCGACGATACAGATGACGAGGATGAATATGTTCCTTTGAGAGTAAGTGAACCATTGGTTGTTGCTTTAAACCTCTTGTATTAATTAGGGAGTAAATTTTGTGTAGATATACTCCATTTGTGGCTCTAGATCCTCGTTTCTTTTCTCTATCATCTCACAATTTCACGGGATTACAAGTGTTCAGCTTAGTGATCTAACTTTTCTAAGAGTTGGATTCTTCGTTATGTCAGATTGTGCGGCCACGGAGTGTGGACAGTGAGCAAAAAAGGCTGCTTGATGTTTCTCAAACACACAATGCCCAGGATACTGGCACTGCTAAAGTAAGATAAGTCAGCAGTTCCATTCTTGTCTTCATGCACGCGATGTGATCATTATCGTGGGAAATTACAGCTAGTAAACAGTTCTTCCAAAAAAATCATTTATGAGCACATAATGCTTCAGATATTTTGACACCCAAAATTTCACTAATTTTCTTATCTTCAATAATTGCATAAAGTGGTTTAAAGATTTTGGCTGGTTGGGTTTCAGAAGAAGAGAGGGAGGCCTGTCAACCCCAAGATTGACATGGAGCAGAAGTTGAATATGTCAACGCCGGGGCTTGGCTTGGTTGAGAGCGGCGGCAGTAACAGCAGCAAGAGCGACGTAGATGATGATCTTGTGCCGATGGTGAGAACTGTGGTATGATTCCGCATTCCGCCTTTAGGACATTCTTGTTGTTCAAAGCTTGAAAGAAGCACATTGTCATATTTTACATACCTTTTTTTTGTGAACATACATATGTTACACACCTTCATTTAAACAAAATGATGTCATAATTTGGTTTGAGCAGGTCATATGTATGTCACACTTAAGGATTCTGACAACTTGCTAAAAAATTCTTAATGGGCTTAATTTCAGGACACAATATTGAATGTGTTTCTAAACATTTATGAACTCTGCTATGTTTATATGCATTGCTTCCTGTAGTCTATATAACTGTTGGGTTATTAACCTCTACTTTCTTCACTTTCGATTAGTTCAAAACATGCACTAACTATGAACAAGCTTCATATGTTACATACCTTTTTTTTGTGAACATACATATGTTACACACCTTCATTTCAAAAAATGATGTCATAATTTGGTTTAAGCAGATCGATATGTTTGTCACACTTAACGATTCGGGCGACTAAAAATTCTTAATGGTCAATTTCTGGACACAGTATGGAGTGTGTTTCTAAACATTGATTGACTCTGCTATGTTCATATGCATTGCCTCATGTATTCTATATTACTGTTGTGTTTTTAACCTCCATTTTCTTCACTTTCTATTTAGTTCAAAACATGTACTCCCTCCGTCCCACAAGATAAGATCGTTTTTCAAGCTTGAAAAACGATCTTATCTTGTGGGACGGAGGGAGTACTAACTAACTATGAATAAGCTGTGACTTGACAGGTAGCTGCTGTTAATTGCCAAAAGACATGTGCAAGGTACTTCAAACTTTTTTTCTTTTCTCGAGAGTAAGAAGATGCATTAACAGTTCCTGAAAAGCCTGTCCACTTATGCACTTCAATCTTTGAACAAACTACAGCGTTCAGGGTAACTTTGGGTCTGCTATGGAGAGAGCTGAGGAGGTACTTGTGAAGTTACCAGCCGAACATCCTAGCTTTGTCAAGTATATGCTACATTCACATGTTGTTCATGGTTTTTGGCTGGTAAGTCTATTTATTAGCTATTCACATATTTGTCCAAAGCTGAAGAATTAGGCGATCATTTCTTATGAACAACATGTGAACCCAAGAACCCAAATATCGAAGGGGAGGAAACACCTGCTAAACGAAAATGCAGATTGCCTTTTCTTTTGTATCAGAAGATAATCAAATTACTGAGAAAAAAATGTGCACTGCAAAAGTGTGAACTGCACAACTTAGAGCACGTCGTGGTTTGTGAAATTTAGTTTCAGGTAGAGCAATCTCATAAGCTTAGTACATGTGTGGACGCTTCCTGAGTGTCACTTGGTGTACATGGGGATGGGATTAATGAAAACATTTCCTTCTCTTTGTTTTTGCTTCCTCTGCATTTGAATTTTATGTTTGTCTCCCAGGGTCTACCGTCTGACTTCTGCAACAAGCATCTCCCAAAGAAGGACACTGCTATTGTGCTAGAAGATGAGGATGGGCACAACTATGATGCAAAATATCTAGGAGCCAAGCAAGGACTTAGTGCTGGTTGGAGAGGTTTTGCGATTAATCATGGTATCAAGGTCGGAGATGTTGTAGTCTTTCAACTTGTCAGTTCAGCAAAGTTTAAGGCAAGTGTTTCCTGATAATTTTTCAATTGCTTGATCATTCTTTTACACTATTGATTGACAGGCACTACATATGCGCCAGTTACACATTTCTTGAATTGTTCCATGCATGCTCTGTTTGCACTTATCCAATATTAAAAACTCCTCTTGTTTTCTGTACGCTTTTCATTCAGGTCTATATATTAAGAGCGAACAACTTCACTACAACTGATGGAGCACTTGGTCTCCTGTGTCTGGAAGATGGCAAGGAGAAGATACCGAGTGAGTCAAAGTTCATTGTGTTGATTCTGCACTTGGGACTTTGTTATACATGGATAAGTTAACCATTGAATCTTCTGAATCATTTCTTGTGTTATTATGCAATGCAGAAGAAGAAAGTTCCAATGATGTCAAATCTGAAGCTGGCAAGGAGAACATACCGAGTGAGTCAAATTTCATTGTCTGCACTTGTAAATTTATTATACATGGATAACTTAACCATTGAATCTTCTGAATCATGTTTTGTGTTATGCAATGCAGAAGAAGAAAGTTCCAATGATGTCAAATCTGAAGCTGGCAAGGAGAAGATACTGAGTGAGTCAAATTTCATTGTGTTGATTCTGTACTTGTGAATTTATTATACATGGATAAGTTAACCATTGAATCTTCTGAATCATGCTTTGTGTTATGCAATGCAGAAGAAGAAAGTTCCAATGATGTCAAATCTGAAGCTGTCAAGGAGAAGATACCGAGTGAGTCAAAGTTCATTGTGTTGATTCTGCACTCGTGAAATTTGTTATACATGGATAAGTTAACCATTGAATCTTCTGAATCATTTTTTCTATTATGCGATGCAGAAGAAGAAAGTTCCATTGATGTCAAATCTGAGGAGAAGCCAAAGGTTGCTCAGAGCGATAGCAGCAACCTAGCCAGTGAGTCAATAACAGATGGCATCAAATTTTCAGACACAGTCATCGATTTCGACAACGTGAAAGATTTCAGCAGCTTCAGCATCGTCGTAGATGGCCTGGTCATCGACTGCGAGTTCCCTGACCACCTGCGCGAGACGTACTACGAGCTGTGCTGTGCCCAGAAGTCGTTCCTTCACAAGGAGCTGCTCAAAGGGCTAAACCTCACACTCGTGGTGGGAGCCATCATGGAGACTATCGACATCGCGGAGGGCATCAGGGCCTGCAAGGCACGCACTCCTTCCCGCAGGGACTTTGTGGTCTGGAAGAACTTGCAGGCCTTGAAGCTCCTGGGCATGAATGTGGACTTCCTGCTGAAACGCGTCGATGATCTCCTCAGCCTCCCTGCTCGACCCAGAGCCCCTGCTGAGGTAAAACTGGAGCGGGCACGCACCGTCGCGAAAATCAAGGCGGTCGTCCAGGATTTCGAGTGTGAAGGACACTCTGGAGGAGATTGACATGGAGATGGAGGAGCTGGAGTCCAGCGTGAAGATAGTGGATGAGATGATGCAGCTGTTAGCGACCGCGCCGTGGTAGCAGTGTGCGCGCAGCTTCGGTCTCCGCCGCAGACAATAAATATTTTGGGCGACATGGCCGTTCAGTATACAGAAGATTAGAACTGCATTTTGGCGGCAGTATTTCATTTTTGTTTAAATGCAACTTGAGAGTAGTTATTATCTGTGTGCCATCTAGGCACTTCTTGTGCAGCAAACAAACTAGGATGCTGTTTTTTTTGGGGTACACATCAAGTGGTGTGACCTATCTCCATCCCATCCCATCCCCCCTGTGTAATTCCGCGGAACTGCACTGTGACAGTGCTGAAATGAAAATGCAAGAGATGCAGTTTGCTTTTGAGTATTTGTTGAGTGCATTTGAATGTGTGTTTCCCTGCGTTTTGCTAGCACGAGTATTGTGCATGCAGCTGCTTTGCTTGTTTTCTTCTTGGTCGCTGCTGATTCGGCTTGTTGAAGCTCCGACACCGTTTGCCTCGCCTGCACCTGCACCTGCAGCACGCATGAATAAAATGGTAACTCCAAGACGATGGAGGTTCAAGAGGGCGGGATTAGGAGAGAACTACATCATCTACGTGATCAGCCAACTGAGGAATGATTTCATTTCATGGCTGAGCAACGGAGGCTGCAGGACGACAACTCCAGGCCAGGCTCCTCCAAGAGGCCAAGGACATGAGGTACATTCGATTCTCTTCCCCTGCTTGGATCCAGCCAGTTGCATGTTCTAACCGTGGAAAAATACTGATTACTGTGGGTGGGTGCCAGGAGGGAGCTTTTTTTTTGAAATGAAAGGTAGTAAGGTCTACCTTATATATTTCAAAACAGGCAAGAAGCCTGGGACCGGAGGGGTCGATTACATGAAGCTTATCTTTAGCACCAAGGTGCCCTAGCAATAAGC